AACACCGCCCACTATACTAATCCTGACCGATTAATATAGACTTTAGAGTAAGAAACTAAGTTACCCTTAACCTAGCTCTTACAATGATTCACACAAGATTGAAACATTTCTTTCACAAGTGAAACGAATCCTACAATATAAGCATGATTACAAGCAAACAAAGTAACAACTGGTACAGAAAGCAAATGAAGCACTCTATCAGGTCCCTGCTGTTTTTTGAACCTTGATATGTTTTTTTTTTTTGAATGAATATTTTTGTTGTTTGTAAGTTGAATATATTCCATGAAGAGTTATTACCAAATGTACAAGCAACCTCCTTGCTTCTGATTGGTGAAGTACTCTGCAGTTTCACCAACTTTCTGACACAGGCAGCTTTTACAGCTGTACAGCACTTTGACAGCTGGACGAGTATTCATACTCTGCAGAGGACCAGGTCCCTGCACTTGTGAGGAGATCATCAAAAACACCAAAAAGGCATAAGCTCTTATCACTTCCTTTCTGGGTTGGTCGTAAAGATTGCTCTCTTAAATCTGATTTTCACATAATAAATGTCAAAATGAATCTTCATAATCATACCCCCTTGAAAAGAGTTCCTTTTTATTCTATACACCCAATATCCTACCTTGAAACTTGAAAGGAGTTCAATACATACATATTGTTCATTTTCATGAAGGAGGGTTACTGTCTTGCCGTATCGTTTTGCATGACAGTCAAATCATGAAGTAAATCAATAATGTGTATGGTTGAGATTAATAATATATCTCAATTGAGAAAAAATGTAGTTTGAAAATTGAAATGTGACAAATATCCAGAGTTAATACCTTAGATCACTCAACTATGCACTTTTTTCTCAGAAAGTCACTCAACTTTCAATTTTAACTCAAAAGTCACTCAACTATGCACTTCTTTCTCAGAAAGTCACTCAAACTTTGAATTTTAAATCAAAAGTCACTCAACTATCCATTCTTCCATCAGAAAGTCACTCAATCTATTTAATTATTTTTTAATTAAAATTTGCTGATATTAATTGTTTATATAACAAACCAAAATTTTAAAAAATAAAAAAATACTATTTAAACCATTTAGTGATCCACCCACCTAACCCGACCTATTAAAAAATATAATATGACCCATTTTATTTTACCCTTAATCCTAAATTATTTCCTCTCTTTCTCCTCTGCTCCTATACATTTTTCTTTTTCGTTCTCCATTGCTGGTGCCTCTTCAAATCAGTCTATTTCAAATCATATCTAAACGGGCTAAACAAAGATTTATGTTTCCTGAGGTTAATATTTTAAAATGCCATTGAACAATATAAAAAATTATCTAACATGCGCGCATACTCCATCGTCAATAATTAGGGCGTACTTGTTTCCTTATTTACACCTATTTTCCCTCATCAATATTCCTATCTAAAAAATAATGGATCTTACCTGGTATTATCTTCTAATTCCTCTGTTTTTCTTTCTTCATAAATGCTTCTTTTCTACTTCAAATAAGTTATCACCACCATCTCCAACAAAGCTTCCAATCATAGGAAATCTCCATCAACTTGGATCGCTTCCTTACCGTTCTCTCCATAAACTATCCAAAAAATATGGTCCACTCATGCTACTTCACTTTGGCAGTAAGCCAATGCTTATTGCTTCCTCTGTCAATGCTGCTCGCGATATCATGAAAACTCACGATCTCGTTTGGTCAAATAGACCTAAATCTAGCATGGCTGATGGACTCTTTTATGGCTCCAAAGACGTGGCCTTTAGTCCGTATGGTGAATACTGGAGACAAGTTAGAAGCGTCACAGTGCTTCACCTTCTCAGTAACAAAAGAGTCCAATCATATCGTCATGTGAGAGAAGAAGAAATATCAAACATGATTGATAAAATTAGGCAAGAGTGTGATTCAGTGATAGACTTGAGAGATGTTTTAAGTTGTATGACTAATAACATAATCAGCAGAGTGACCATAGGAAGGACATATAATGAAGGGGAAAGTGGAATAGCTGTTAAGGCTCTCCTAGAAGAACTTCTTGTACTTGTAGGTACTTTTAACATTGGGGATTATATTCCGTGGATTAAATGGATCAATAAAATCAATGGTCTGGACAGCAGAGTGAAGAAAGTAGCTAAAGATTTGGATGCATTTCTAGAGAGCGTGATTGAAGAACGCGTGATTAGGAACAAGAAAGCAGAATACAGTGGGGGTGAAGCTAAAGATTTCGTGGACGTTTTGCTGGAAACTCAGAATGGAAAGGAGACTGGTTTTCCACTTCAAAGAGATTCATTGAAAGCTATCCTTTTGGTAAAATTTCCCTCTTTAGTGTGTGTCTTGTTTTCTTTTTTCTTTTAAGCATTTAGTTTGAATATAATTCGTACTACTAATATATTTACCATTTGACGGCCGTCCCAATTTGTGTTTCTTTATAATGCATAGGATGCATTTGTTGCCGGCACAGATTCAACATATACAGTTTTGGAGTGGACAATGACAGAACTTTTGAGGCATCCAAGAGTTCTGGAAAAATTAGAGGATCAAGTGCGAGAATTAGGCCAAGGGAAAACAGAGATAACAGAGGATGACTTAGGAAATATGCACTATCTTAAAGCGGTGATCAAAGAGTCCCTCAGGCTTCATGCACCAGTTCCACTTCTAGCTGCCCGAGAATCAATGGAAGAAGTAAAATTACTTGACTATGACATACCTGTTAGAACTCAAGCCATAATTAATGTTTGGGCAATTGGAAGAGACCCCTTATTATGGGAAAATCCAGAGGAGTTTCGGCCTGAGAGATTCTTAAATAGTGATATTGATGTCAAAGGACTAAACTTTGAGTTGATTCCGTTTGGAGCTGGCAGAAGGGGCTGCCCAGGAATTCCTTTTGCTATAATGGTGAATGAGCTAGCATTAGCAAACCTCATGTATAGATTCAATTTTGCATTACCAGAAGGGATAAAAGGGGAGGATTTGGAGATGACTGAATGCAATGGGCTCGCTGTTCGTAGGAAATTACCTTTGTTTGTGGTGGCTACTCCATTGTCTAGTTAATAATTTCACTATATGTAATAATTAAGTGTACGAGTCTACAAAGTTGTTAGGTTTTTATTTTTTTTCATGTTCTTGTATGCAAAATTTCCTGTTTTAACATGTTCTGTAGATAATACTATTAATATGCCTGCCAAAAACATCAAGCTATTCTACACGTATAAGACCAAAAGATGTGTTACTTGTTGATGTTTGATATTTCACCATCCAACTAAAGCTTCTCTATAATTAGATGGTAAGTATATAATTGATTGCGAAAAGAAGCCTTGTATATCAATTTGACAGTGTGTGTTTTTCCCCCTCAACAAAGTGTGATAGAATTGACGTGTGGGACTAATATTACATGGACATAGATGTAAAATTCTGTTGAAATAACTATTTTCAACAATATGGAATCATAAAACACCTGCAGATTGTAGCTGGTATTGGAAGAAGCTAAATGCAATCAAGGTCCAAATGCTTGGTTGGTATAACCAAGGAAGATACATGCTCACACAAACTGGAAAATATTCCATCACTAGCCGTTACTTAGCACTAATTGGCCAACAATCACGTATGAGAACTGTTGAGCTAGTATGGACCTCTATGGCTCTACCTAAACATAGATTCATAACGTGCTGTACAAGGAAGATTACTTACGCAGGAGAGGAAACTGAAACTACACATTCAGGTGGAGGACACTGATTGCTGCCTTTGTGATAAGAAGGTCATGGAGACTACAATGCACTTATTCGTTAAGTGTGATTGGGCACAGGCTATATGGAAAGAGGTGAAACAATGGATAGGAATAGAGTTGCAAAACAATGGGATCAAGCAGACACTGAAAAGAATAATGTTGACGCACTGGAAGAAATTTAAGAAGGAGACTATTGCGGCTACTTGTGGAGCAATCTTATATCACACATGGAGAGTCAGGAGTTGGAAAAAGTTCAAAGGCAAGACTGTACATACAAAGGAGGCAGCAACACAGATAAAAAAGGAGATTATGGAGAAATTACAATTACTTAGTAGTTCAAAGAAAACACAAAATTGTAGGAGTTTTGTTCAACTACTTTATACTTAAGTTTTTTACTTTGTAGGAGGCCTAATCTCTGTTACCAAGTATAGGTGCTCTTTATTTATACTGGTTTTGATGATAATGGTAATCTTTTACCGTAGTTACCAAAAAAAATTTAAGGTGCAAATTTGGTGCCATCCCAAAAAAGGAAAAAAAAGAAGAAGAAGAAAAAGTCCATAAATAAGGGAGGGGAAAAGGCACGTGCTAGAAATACTTGGCTGACAAAGGTTGTTGACAGGTATGATGGAACAGAGTGAGTAGTGACATTTGAGATTAATGAGGTAAATTTGGACTATCCAAAAAATATGGTCCAGTCATGCTACTTCACTTTGGCAGTAAGCCTGTGATTGTTGCTTCCTCAGTCGAAGCTGCTCGTGACATCATGAAAACACATGATCTCGTATGCTCAAGCAGACCTAAATCTAGCATGGCTGATAGACTCTTTTACGGCTCTAAGGACGTGGGCTTTAGTCCCTATGGTGAATACTGGAGACAAATTAAAAGCATTGTCGTGCTTCACCTTCTCAGCAACAAAAGAGTCCGATCTTATCGTGATATTAGAGAAGAAGAAACATCGAATATGATTGAAAAAATCAGACAAGAGTGTAATTCTAATTCTTCAAATTCAGTGATAGATTTAAGAGATCATTTTTGTTTTATGACTGGTAACATAATTAGCAGAGTGGCCTTAGGGAGGATATATAATAAAAGGGAAAGTGGAATAGATGCAAAGAACATCCTAGCAGAATTTCTTCATCTTTTGGGTACTTTTAATGTTGGGGATTATATTCCTTGGCTTGAATGGGTCAATAAAATCTTTGGTTTGGACACCAAAGTGGAGAAAGTAGCTAAAAAGTTGGATACATTTTTAGAGACTGTGATTGAAGAACATATTATTAGTAACAAGAAAAGAGAATACAGAGTGGGAGAAACTAAAGATTTCGTGGACGTTTTGCTAGAAATTCAAAATGGGAAGGAAACTGACTTTCTTCTCCAAAGGGATTCATTGAAAGCTATCATCTTGGTAACATCAGACTCTTTCACTCTACTTATTCACTCCTTGGAGTGTTTTGTTAGTATAATTTTGAACATAATTGTTTTATAGTTAAAATTTTTGTGACTTAGAACATTGTTATTCTTCCACATAATCATTTATACATACTCCAGCATAACAATCTTATATGGTTAGTTTGTTTGTTATTTTTTTTTTAAAAAAAATTGTGTTTCTTTTTAATGTGGAGGATATATTTGCAGCTGGTACGGATACAATGAAGAATAGATTGGAAACAGAAAAGAAAGTTTCAATATACTACAATGAATTAGAAAATACAGAGTGTTCATACAAGCACACTTATAGTGTGATTCTAAAATCTGTTATTAACTAACTACACTAGTTAATCCTAACTTAACCATAGTTAATTCGTAACAACTTTCTAACTAACTTTGTGACATCACTGTTTATCTTGTAACTAACTTTGAATAACAACTACTATATTCAACACCCCTCCTCAAGCTAAAGGCTGAAATATGTCTTTCAAGCCTAGCCTGGACATCAAATGTACATGTGAAGCTTTCCACAAACCTTTTGTCAGCAAGTCTAATAGTTGATCTTTGGTAGACACATGATGAGTTTTGATCATACCTTGGTGTAACTTCTCTCTAACAAAATAACAATCAATATAAAAGTGTTTGGTTCTTTCATGAAAAATGGGATTGGCTGCAATCTGTATAGCAGCCTTGCTGTCACAGATAAATCCACTGGTTGCTTGATATTAAACTTCCCCAACTCCTTGTAGATGCCAATAAGCCAAGTTATCTCTGCCACTGCAGAAGCCATACTTCTAAACTCAGCTTCAGCTGAACTTGTAGCAACTGTATCCTGTTTTTTAAGTGCCTCTCCAAACTTCACCAAATATCCTGTGACTGACTTTCTTGTTTGCACACAAGTTCCCCAGTCAGAGTCACAGTAAGTAGTTAGAGTTCCTGTGCTTTGAGCAGGCATAAACAGTCCTAAGCCAGGAGCTGACTTGATGTACCTGATGGCTCTCAAAGCAGCCTCCATATGTGATTGTTTAGGAGCATGCATGAACTGACTAAGTGTTTGTACCACAAAAGAAATGTCCACTCTAGTCATAGTTAGATATAGTAGTCTCCCTACTAACCTTTGATACCTCCCAATGTCTTCTAAAGGTTTGTCTTTTACTGTAGTTTCTGCTCCCTGCACATATGAGTAAAACTCAATAGATGTTAGTTTCACATTAGGATCCAATGGTGTGTAGAGTGGCTTGGCTCCACTTAACCCCATTTCAGAAATTAATTCTAAGGCATACTTGCGCTGACTCATTACATACCCCTCCTTAGACCTGGAAAATTCAATCCCAAGAAAAACCTTTAATTCTCCCAAATCCTTCATCTTGAATTTGAGTTTCAAGTCATTCCTGGTTTGAGCTATCAGATTCTTGCAGCTACCAGTCACCAAAAGATCATCAACATATACTAGAACCACTATCAATTCCTTATCTACATGCCTGGTGAAAAGAGAGTAGTCATAGTGACTTTGAACAAAGCCTAATTGAGCCAAAACTGCTGTCAACTTAAGGTTCCACTGTCTAGGTGCTTGCTTCAATCCATATAGTGATTTATGGAGCTTGCAGAATTTACTAGATCCCTCCTGTCTGCCAAAACTAGGAGGAATAACCATGTACACTTCTTCAGGCAAATCCCCATGCAGAAAAGCATTATGAACATCCATTTGAAAGATTGGCCAATGCTTAGCAGCAGCAATAGCCACAACTGATCTGACAGTAACCATTGTTGCCACATGAGAAAAGGTTTCTGAGTAATCCAACCCATCCTTTTGACTGAACCCCTTGTCTACTAGCCTAGCTTTATATCTTTCAACAGCCCCAGAAGCTAGATATTTGACCTTAAACACCCATTTACAGCCAATAGGTTGTTTACCAGGAGGAAGATCAACAATGCTCCAAGTCTGATTGTCCTCTAGTGCTGAAATTTCAGACTTCATGGCCTCCACCCACAGAGGATTAGCAGCAGCCTCAGCAAAAAAAAACAGGCTCAACAATACTTGAATAAGCAGCCAATGCTTGACCATAAGATTTGGAAAGTTTGTCATAGCTGACATGATTAGAAACATGATACAAACAACCAGACTTAGGCTGAGAAGTGAGGAAATCTTGCAGCCAGATGGGTGGTCTGCTAATCCTGGATGATCTTCTAAGAGTAGGAGACTGAGTAGTATTATCACACGAAGTAGATTCCACAGCAGGTATATGATCCAAATCAAAAGCAGAACTACTAGGAGGAGATTCAGCAGGAACAACTAGAGGAGGAGAACTTTCACATACTGCTGAGGGATGAAGGACTGGAAAAATTGAGGACACATTAAGGTCCATACACTGAAATGGAAAAATCTCTTCTTTAAACACAACATCCCTGCTAACCAGAAACTCTTTGGTAAGCAAGGAAAACAACTTGTACCCCTTCTGGAGAGTAGTATAGCCCAGAAATACAGATGGAATAGTTCTGGAGGAAAATTTATCAACCTTTTTCACTTCAGTGTCAAAAGCCAAACAACCAAATACCCTCAAATGATCTAGTGATGGACTGGTCTGAAACAGGACACCAAATGGAGTTTTGCCCTTAAGTATAGTAGATGGAAGTCTGTTAATGAAATACACACTAGTGAGCACACATTCACCCCAGAACTTAAGTGGAAGACTGGCTTGAAACCTTAATGCCCTGGCTGTATCCAATATATGCCTGTGCTTTCTTTCAACTACTCCATTTTGCTGGGGAGTATATACACAAGAAATCTGATGAAAAACCCCTAGGGACTGAAGTAATTCAGTCATTTGTGAGTTAAAAAATTCACAACCATTGTCTGTCCTCAATATTTTTACAATTGCAGAGAATACATTCTTGATCATAGTAAAGAAATTTCTAAAAGCCACAATGACTTCAGACTTGGAATTGATTAATAGCAGCCAGGTATATCTAGAACAATCATCAACAATGGTTAAAAATATCTCTCCCCATCATGAGTGGGTACTCTATAGGGACCCCACACATCAACATGCAAAGTGTGAAAACAAGTAGAAGTTGTAGTATTACTCAATGGAAAAGAAAGTCTTGATTGTTTAGCCAAAGGGCATACAGTACAAGGAACATCAGAAGTAGGAGATACATTGTTGAAACAACTAAGTTTTCTAGGAGTATGAAATGATACATGGCCAAGCCTTCTATGCCATAGAGACAAGTTTCTACTATATGCATTTATTAAGGAAGTAGACTTAGAGACAGACACTACATTTGCAATAAAAGATGATAGTGAAGTTCCTTGTGACTTCAACTGGTGATCAACTGGAAGAATATACATGTCATCTTCCAACTTGCCAATCCCCCTCACCTTCCCACTGGGGAGGTCCTGGAATAGGCAAAAATCAGGATAAAAGAGGACACCACAATTCAATTCCCTAGTTAGCTTAGGAACAGATAACAAGTTGTACTTGAACTCAGGAATATGTAGAACATTATGAATATCAGATCCTATTAGAATCTGAGAAGAACCAATATTGGTAACTTTAGCTAAACTACCAGTTGGCAAAGAAACATTTCCCACTTGACAACTAGGTAGTGATGTAAAGTTAGTGATCAATTTAAAATCATTGACCATATGCTTAGAAGCTCCAGAATCTATGATCCATTTAGGCATACCTGTGACTTGCATATGGAACACTCTTAGGCCTGCCATTCTCCTGGTCAAAAGGTTGATACTGCTGTAGGTAAGGAAGGGGAGGGAACCACTGTGTGGATGGATAGTGATGTGGCTGCACATTAGACATAAGTGTATGAGTAGGATAAGAGATACCACCACCTGATGAGAGAGGTCTTGGATAAGACTGAGATCTGCATGCTGAGCTGCTAGGAGGAACCTTGACCCTCAAACACTGATCCATGTGAACCATCTACATGACCACTTGTACTATGAGGAGAAGATCCTGTGGCAAAATTAGCAGCAGTAACAGGGCCAGGGCTAGTTCTTCCAGTTACAGTAATCACAATACATGTTGCTGTTAGAGGCTCTCTGAGATTTGGAGCCAGATCCTGAATGAGAAGAAGAACCTGAACCAGACTGAGTATGACCTTTGCCAGAACTAAAAAATGCCATTGCATCTGATAGCTGTCCAGGATGTGTAGTTTCTGCACTAACTATATTGGACTTGCCCAGAGCTCTTTGACATTCTTCAGCCATTACCAAGGAATAAGCCTTATTCACACTTGGTCTAGGATCCATCATCATTAACTGACTTCTACATTGATTATAGGTTTCATTTAACCCTAGAAAAAATTGCATTAATCTCTGATATTCAAAATGAACAGCATAGGTTTTTGACACTTCACAAGCACAACTAGGACATGGCATAAGAGAATCAAATTCCATCCATAATTCCTTCAGCTTAGAGAAATAGTGAGCCACTGATGAGACTCCTTGAGTCAATGTGGCAATTTCCTTATGAAGAAAAAAAATCCTAGATCCATCAACTTTATCAAATCTTTCTTTGAGATCATTCCAAACTTGATGAGCACTACTCGCATACACTATTCCACTAAGTAACTCCCTGCTAACAGAGATCATAATCCAGGAGAGAACTATGGCGTTACACTTCTCCCAGAGATCATGCAGAGGAGCTGGAAATAGATTCTTAGGATATTTTCCATCAACAAATCCTAGTTTGCCTTTACCTAGTAATCCTATCTTCATTGATCTACTCCATAGTGAATAGTTTTCAGAACCAGTGAGTTGAATGGAAACTAGAGAACTACCTGGAGTATCGCATGCTTGGAGATATAGAGGATGATGAGCATCAATCACCATTGATCCTCCTTGCACTGAACTGGTAGGTATCTCACATGCTTGGAGATATAGAGGATGGTGCGCATCAATCACCATTGATCCTCCTTGCACTGAACTGGTAGGTATCTCTGAATTTGAATCAGGCGCCATGAATAAACACCTGGAAATCACACACGATCTGAACTGCTATATGGACAATGCAGCAATTCTTCAGCTGCACTGAAAATTAGTGAGATCTTCAATGGAAACCCTTGTGCTCTGATTCCATGAAGAATAGATTGGAAACAGAAAAGAAAGTTTCAATATACTACAATGAATCAGAAAATACAGAGTGTTCATACAAGCACACTTATAGTGTGATTCTAAAATATGTTATTAACTAACTACACTAGTTAAT